AGCTGCTGCTAAGCCTGCGATTGGGTGGCTGATAATGGCTTGGGCCTCACCCTCTTGGCAGTCCTGGGTTTCAGTGTCTGGGAGGCAGGTGGGGCCAGTTGAAGCCCTCAACTGACTTTTCACTTTCATTTTAAGGAGAGTGCTAGCTTGCCGCAGTCCGGCTACAGCAAAATAACCGGGGGGGGGGGGGGGGGTGACAAACAACTTGTGTAGATTGATACAGCTGGCAAAATGCCAGGGGCCATACAGACTCGGCCGTGGCTCTCAGCACTAGCTGGTGGCGGTGAGTGGAGAAGGGGAGGAGAGGAAGCGGCGGCACATTTCTCTCCAAGGACCCCCTCCTCTAGGCAGTCTGGTGGGTTCTGGAGGAGGAATACCTGGGTTCAAGTCATACCACCACTTTCTTCTGTGTGTTCTTAGACAAGTTGCTTTATCTCTGGTCTCCTTTTCCTGTCTGTAGAATGAGGACAATTGAAATACCTTCCTTATGGTGTTGATATTTAGATTTATTGAAACCACTCTCAGCCCACTAAAAGCACTCAATAAATGTTTGGCTAGTATGATGATGATGATGATGATGATGATGATGATCATGATTTTGACCTTGGACCCAATGGAATCTCAAAAGGTCATTTTGTTTGTCTTGTTTCCTCCAGGCTAGTGGTCTCCAAATTTGTCTGCCCACTTGGGACCTTTGAAAAATTCCAAAGTCCAGACCAGTAATTCCCAGTGCCTGGGAGGTGGGGGCGAGCAGGCAGGAGTGGTATTGGGCTCTCCTGCTTATCGCACTGTGCAGCAAGTTTGAAACCACTGCTCCGTGTTGTAGCACAAGTTGAGGGGTTTACCTCAGGGACAGTGCTTTGGCCCAGCAAATTTCCTCATCCTCTTATGATGATCTGAGGTTAAACATCTCCTTCAGGACAAGCAAAACTTCCTGCTTAATTTTAAATCATTTTTTTTTCCTTGTTAGAGGGAAGAGGGGATAGCTGCCATCTACCAAATCCTTGGTTAGTTGTATTATCAGGGTATCCTACCTCCCCATCCCCACCCTTCCAGGGAGGGACAGTGGCCCATTAGGGGCCATCCAGCCAACAGGAGGTAGACTGAGGTGTTGGTATTGGATGTTGACATCTGGTCACAGCTAGAGATCAAAAGGAGCTTTCTACACTCTGCTGTCTGGGGCTTCCTCTTTTACTTTATCCAGTTTAACATGGCCTCCTCTAGTCAGCATGAAGACAAATACACACTTGGGTGAGTCTTGAAAAAACATTCCTCTCCAAGGCTTTGCTGGTACCTTCCATGAGTCACAAACTTAGCTCCAATTTTCCCCACCTTCTCCTTCAAGGCAGGAGGGCTATAGCCCCTCCATCCCCTCCTCATGGTGTCCATTTCTTCTTCTAGGCCTTGGTTGGTCTCTCCCTAGTCCCAAACCCCTGTCCCAGCACACGTGGCCTGATGCATGCAGCACATCCTTCGAGGCTGGCTTGGGCCAGGACCTTGTTTCTGTGAAGTCTTCTCCAGGTACTTTTCTCTCTAAAAACCCACAGCACTTATAGTTCTCAATGCTGTAACCATTGCCACGAAACAACACTAACCACGCTAGCCTCCATGTTCCCCAATTATGGTCAAGGGCTGTAAACATCAAATGAGCAGGGTTCAAACAGCTCAGTAAGGGTTGCTACATATGCTGCCCAAGCTCTTGATTTTCCCAGATGTCCACTCATTGGCCTTCACTTTAACCTAGGTGGGCGGGTCTCTGCTATTGGTTGACTTTGCCCAGCAATCGGATAGGCACTTTTGGGGGAGGTAAGGGGCTTCTGGTTCATGTGCTTTGGACCTAACATCAAGGAGTTTCCTATTTATTTAGAAAGGATAGAGAAGAGGTTAATTATGGGCATTCTTTACAAGTGGGCTTGGAAGTGAGTGGTGGAGGAAGGCCTTGCTGCACATGGAGAGGGGGCACAGGCTCTAGAGTCTGCAGGGAAGGCTCTTGAAGAGGCCCCACTTGGGGCCTCTTCTCCCCATCCACCTGACTCAGACTCCTCACCCTCAGGCAGCTTTCCCACAGTATTCCATCCCCTACCTCCCCTGAGCTTTCCTTCTCTGGCTGTCTTTACCATTGTGCCTGGCTTCACTTTTCACCATGAGTTGCACAGGTGTTAGGGTTAGGAATAGGGCTGTGTAGACCAAAGATGTCTAGAACTAGGGAAGCCAGCCATTGTGATTTGCCCAAGATTGTCCTGGTTTAAACACTGAAAATCTTGGTGAAGTCAGATAATTGTCATGCTACCAGGATCTGTGAGAAGCCGTGTTGATGTTTGCTGAGTGTATTCTAGTTCTCTCTGCCTTTTCCTACATGTCTTCCAGCAACAAATCCCTGAGAAATAGACACTGTGATTCTGTGAGTATCTGAAGCTCTAGAGTTGGTGGCTTGCTTGATATTACACAGCCAGGAAGAAGCAGGTCTGGGAGCTGATTTGGGGCTCACTATCTCTTTTAGCCTATAGTGTCTCCTGGAGATGACCCATTAAATGGTTAACAAACACAGACAGCAAGAGGAGAATGACAAGAAGGCCTGGAAATCTCCCTGCCCTAGGCAGCTTCTCCTTGCTGCTGTTCTAGCCAACTCTTGTTCTTCCTACCATCTGCCCTTTCTCGCCTCTGTTGGGATTTCTACTCCAACTTTTGGGGGTTATATGGTGGTTCCATTCCAAGTGATTTTAGCCCCAACTTTTGCAAAAAAAAATATATATATTTAGTGCTTGAATACAAAGGAAAAGGACATTTAAAATCCTGGGAGAAAACCTCCTACAATCTGTAGTAGATCAATTCACTTTCTATGTTACTTTTTAAAACAAAATTCATTTGTTTTAATTGGTTATACATGACTGTAGAATGCATTTTGATAATCATATATAATGGAGTATAATTGCTCATTCTTTTGTTTGTGCATGATGTAGAATCCCACCAGTTGTATAGTTATATATGTACATAGGGTAACAATATCTGATCTGAAGAGGCCCCAAATGGGCTCCTTCCCCGACACCTTCGTGAGCCTTCCCTGCAGACTCCAGAGCCTGTGCCCACTCTCCACGTGCAGCAAGGCCTTCCTCCACCACTCACTTCCAAGCCCACCTGTAAAGAATGCCCATAATTAACCTCTTCTCTATTCTTTCTAAATAAATATCCTACTATCCTTCCTACCCCATACCCGTCCCCTCCCTTTACTCCCCTCTACCTAATCTAGAGTAACCCTATTCTTCCCTGGCGCCGCCCCCACCCTCCACATTGTAAATTAGCATCCGCATATAAGAGAAAACATTTGTCTCTTGGTTTTGGGGATTGGCTTATTTTGCTCAGCACGATATTCTCTAGCTCCATCTATCTATGGGCAAATGCCAAAATTTCATTCTTCTTTAAGGCTGAGAAATATTCCATCATATATATATATATATATATATATATATGATTTTATCATATATATGCATATATATATACATATGTGTGTGTGTGTGTGTGTGTGTATATATATATCTCACATTTTTTTTTCTATTCATCTGTTGATGGGCACTATGGTTGGTTCCATAGTTTAGCTATTGTGAGTTAAGCTGCTATATACATTGATGTGGCTACAACACTATAATATGTTGATTTAAGTCCTTTGGGCATAAACCGAGGAGTGAGATAGCTGGGTCATATGGTGGTTCCATTCCAAGTTTTCTGAGGAATCTCCATACTGCTTTCCATAGTGGTTGCATCAATTTGTATTCTCACCAGCAATGTATGAATGTGCCTTTTCCCCCACATCCTCGCCAACATTTATTGTTGTTTGTATTCTTGATAGCTGCCATTCTATGTTGCATTATAAGTGTGCCTTCTTTGGACTCTTCCTTTTTATGAGATCATAGCCCAGACCCTATTGTATGTTCTGCTCCTTTCATTTAACATTGTGTCCATAAATGTTTTCCAGTTCTGTTATGAAGTCTTCAGGATTATGACTTTAAATAATTGTATCCAGGTGGGCAAACCATCACTTAGCTATTTTGTGGAGATTGGGCCTTTAGGGGTTTTTCTCCCTTCAAGTTGAAAAAATGTATTATTACATTTCATATGAGAACCACTAGATATTTTGGCCCAGAAGGCAACACACATTTTTGTTGGCTGCCAATGATGCTCATGAAATAAGGTTATCCCAGGCATGTTATATGTTCCACGAGGAGGAGCACAGGCCATTGCTGGCCATGGACTCTTTATTACTAGTTATTGATAAGTACAGAATTTTAGAGTAACCATTTAAGGACTTTCAACTGTAATTTTTGTCAATAGGACAATTTTTAATTGCTGAATCTAAAAATGAAGAAAAATTAAAAAATAGGGCTTATGTTTTGTGCATCTCTGGCTTTTAAATCACCAAAGAGTAATTAATTTTATGCTATTTTATAAAAATATTGTCTATAACAAAAAAATTTGTCTATAACAGGATAGGAATGATAAAACAGAAAAAGAGACATTTTGTTTCCTGGTCTAGAAGACAATATTAGGTATTGGTAAATGCTTAACCAAAAACTTTGTTGTTGTAAAACAAAGATATAAAAGAAAAACCTGTTGCCCACCAAGACAGTGCTATGACTTCAGGAGTATCCACGTAATCCCAACTGTGGTCCCAAGGTCACTAGACACCCCCTAGCTTTGCCCCAGATCTCCCAGGCACACCCCCAAACAAACAAGTGGAGTTTCTTAGGAAGAGACCAACTAATGATTTGGGGGAAATTGTGCAGGAGTTTCCAGCAACTAGATCCTCAGAGATTATTGCTGTCCCATCTCCCAGTGGTAAGAGATGAATGATAAACGATCAAGTTGGGGAAGTTTTTCTGCAATGTAATTTCATATAGGTGTGAGGTTTGAAACAGATGTTCTGGCAGGCAAACTACACATTAATACTCCCCTCCCAAGATTCTGAAGGTGCCCAGCCCAGCAGATGTGTATATATAGGGACTGAGCCAGATCTCTTCCAAAGGAGTGGCAGCTCCTTCCCTCTTGATCTCTGCCTCCTTCCAGCTGCGCTCTCGCTCCTGTCTGTGCTCTGGTTGCTCCAGCAACCATGAGTCGCCAATTTAGTTCTCAGTCTGCATTTAGCTCAAGGAGCAGGCGGGCCCATAGTGCCAGGTCCTCCTCGGGCTTTGGTGGTGGTGGGAGTCGGACCGTGGGGTCTGTGAGTCAGGCCTGGGGCAGGGGTGGCGGTGGAGGCTATGGGAGCCATGGAAGGGGCTTTGGCTCGAGGAGCCTCTACAATCTGGGTGGCAGTAAAAGCATCTCCTTTAGCATGGTGGGGAGGAGTGCCAGTGGCTTCTGCCAGGGTCGGGGATCAGGAGGAGGATTTGGAGGGGGCAGAAGCTTTGGGGGTGGTGGCTTTGGAAGTGGTGGCTATGGAGGTGGTGGCTTTGGAGGTGGTGGCTTTGGGGGTGGCAGATTTGGAGGTGGTGGCTATGGAGGAGGTAGTTTTGGGGGTGCTGGGTTTGGGGCTAGCAATTTTGGGCTTGGGGGCTTTGGTCCTTCTTATCCACCAGGGAGCATCCAAGAGGTGACCATTAACCAGAGCCTTCTAGAGCCACTTCACCTAGAGGTGGACCCTGAAATTCAGAGGATCAAGACCCAGGAGCGGGAGCAAATCAAGATTCTCAACAACAGATTTGCCTCCTTCATTGATAGGGTGAGTACCTTAGAGATAGGCAGAACCTTTGGTCACTGACCAAGTGACCTCTCACCAAGTGTGCACTTTTCAGTTGGATGATAATAATCAGTGATCACTTCTGTGTGTTTGTCCTAGGATAGGAAAGAATTTACCTCATTTAGGCTTCAACCTGTTTTCTTGGAGGGATTTATATCTACTTTCCCTTTTGGCAGGAAAACAGATAAAGGATGTGAAATACCTGATAGATATTCAGTGCAGTGATCTCATTCTTATTATTCACTTCTTATCCATCCATGCACACATCCTTCCCTCCTGCCCTCCTTCAGTTCATCTACCCACCCACCAACACATATGCTCTCATTCATCCATCCATCCACCCACCCTTCATACACATCCACCCATCTATTCATCTTTCCACCACCCATCTACTACATTGATTTATACACCACACTCATCCATCCATCCATCTTCCCATTAATATCTACACATAGCCTTCCCTCTTAGCTGCCTTCCTTCCATCCTTCCACTCACACATATTCATCCATTCGTCTATCCACTCACCCATACATATTTATCCATCAGTCCTTGTACCCACCCATCTATACACCCCCAAACTCATCCTCCCATAGCCATCCATCCATCCATCATCCATACATATCTATCATCCATCTTCCCATCACTGCACTTATTTATATACTTCCCACTTATTTATCCATCCATTCATCCTCCTACCCATCCAGTACTATACCCATCTACCCACCCATTGAACCCACAAATACTAAGCATCTACTATATGTCAGACACTGTAACAGGTGCTATAGGGGTGAACAGGACACAAGTTCTGCTCTCAAGGAGACCCACATCTAAAGGGGAGAGTTACAACAGTGTATGGGGAGTATGTAACAGGGGTAGTACTCTCTGGCCATGGTATCTCAAAAAGAGTGCCATGAGCTCCCTCCAAATCCTCCTGCTGCTTCCCATGAGCTTTGCCTGCTGGATTTTTGGAGGGCTTCTTTGGAGCCCCAGGTCTGACCTGAATCTTGAAGGTGGGGGAAGAGCCCTGCGGGCTTTCAGGGCAAAGGGAATTTTTAAGCAGAAGGCCCAGGAGGCATAAAGATACAATACCTTCAGGGAACTTCAAATAGTTAAAAATCCTGGAGAAAAATGCATAATAGAAAGGAGAGGGGAGAAGAGAAGGGGAAACTGCCAAGACAGGCAGAAATAGCAGGCTGGCAAGCCATGGTAAGGCCTAGGCTGATGTGCTGGCCGCTGGTTATCCCTGGGAGCTGAAGTCAGTAACATACCATGTAGCAACCCTGAGTTCCTCCTAGTAGCTTACCAGGACCAAGAAAGGGCCAGATGGAGCCATGGAAGACCCTCTTTCTAGTTCCCTGATTAAATCTCAGACTAGGTCTGGTTCAGGCCCATGTCACCAGGCAGAGGCTGGTGGAATATCTATGGCAAAGAGCTTCCTCTAGCATTTCCTTTTGTCTAGAGGTAGCGGCACAGTGGCCACTACCTGATATCTGGGCAAACACAGGGGACGGTACAGAACATGTGAGCACAGGAGGAGGTGGGGTAGAGTGTTGAGGCTTACAGACAAACAGGAGTTCCACAGAGCCAGGTGCTTCTGACTCCTCTGATCACCCTGAATGGGAAATTTGGGTGAATGTAATCGCACCTCAGGAACAGAAAGGGCTGGGAGCGTTTGGTTGGAGCAAGGATGTGAAGCCGAAGGAGATAACAGTAGGAGGTCAAGGTTATACTAATGGAGGAGAGGGAGGAAGAGCATTGTGGTCAGTGAAATGACCACAGGCTTCTGACAACTGATCTCCTGAGACTCTCATTGGGTTACGGTTCCTGTCATTGACAGAGTGTCTGTCCAGTTTTATGGCATGGGCTTTGGGCAAAAGCCAAGGTATCAGAGGCTTTGGCTTCCAGTCCTTTCCCAAGGGCGTGGCCTGTGATGACCATGAAGAGAGGTTCCTCAGCCAGGCGGACTCTGGTCTGGATGGAGGCAGAAGCTCTCTAAGTGGTCTTCCTGCATTTCCCCTTAGCTCTGTGCAGCCTGCTCTCAAGACCAGAGCAGAGCACAACACTCATCCATTTAAAGGACGTTTCTTATCTCTTTTGGAATAAAAGCCCAATCCCATAAGGACCTATATGATCTAGCTTTGTTCCTGCAACAAGATTCTTTCTTTGGGTCTCCACAATGCCATGCTACCCAACACAGGGCTGTGAATGAGTGTAGAATTGACTGGGAGCATAACATGGAGTAAAAATAGATAGTGGCAGGAATGTCTCATCAGGCATTAATGAGCGAAGCTGATAAACCTGTTGCCCAATCTCTGACTTTGATAAAGCTAGCAAAAATGAGCCGTGGGAAATAATGCTCTATTTACATTTTCCAATGTAGAGTCAGAATCCAAAAGGAGTAGGCAAGGACTAACCCTTAGATGGACAGTGTCTCAGGGGCTGGGAGATTCTAGATACTCCCCTTAAGGCCACATTGTAGGGGACTGTTGGCAGGGTTCTGCTCTGACCATACAAAACAGAGGGGGTTGCCCTTTGCAAAGCTCTTGGAGAAGGGAACTGGATTACAGAGTGTTTGTGTGTGTGTGTGTGTACACATACCCATGTGCATGAGCAAAGCAGAGGCAGCACCACCATCTCCATCTATGCATGGGAGGGGAGGCTCCCTCTGTTGGCAACTAGAAGAGGGAAGGTGAGTGTAGGTCAGTAAGGTGTGAAGGGCAGTTCATGTGCTAGGTCTGAGCTGCCACCTCTCTGGCCCCTGTATACCATCTTTGTGTCCAGTTTTGAGGAAGGAATGAAGATACCGGGTGATGTCTACTCTATTTCCTGGGAAAAGCAACTTGGGTATTTCCAACACCTGCCAACCCAAAGTTCTTATTTCAGGGAACTTGAATATATTATACAATTTAGAAAATGAGAATATTTATTATTAAATTTCTCTCTGGGGTCTATAAACATTTAAATATGGTAAATTTACTGAAAACCTTGCTGACAGGCAGCAGGGGTGGTGGTAGCTCTAGGGGCACTCAGATAAGCTTTCTCAGAAATTAATTAAATTAATTAATAAATTATTTTGAAGAGTGGGCATGAACCTAGAGATGCTCTACCATTGAGCAACATCCCTAACCCTTTTATTTTCTATTCAGAGACAGGGTATCCCTAAGTTGCTGAAGGTCTTGCTAATAAGTTGCTGAGGTTGGCCTTGAACTTTAGGTCTTCCTGCCTCAGACTCCTGAGTGATTGGGATTACAGATGTACATCACTACACCTGGCTTCAGGAATTAGAATATTTTAATATTCCAAGCCCAGTTTTTTCTTCTCCTCACTTCTTCCTGTCCTCAATTGCATGACCCATGTCAGCCACAAGAGAAAGAGCCTTGGATTTGTTAGAGTTTCAGATGTTTCAAAACATTATTTCCTTATGTTGGCATGGATAAATTGAATGATGTCAATGGTTATAGCTAAATGAACATGGTACTCAGTTGGAGGCAATGCACCTTCAAACCAGAGTGAATCTCAGTGTTGATTTTATTCTTTTTTCTTTTTTGGTACCAGAGATTGAACCTAGGGGCAATTAACCACTGAGCCACATCCCTGGTCCCTTTTCATTTTTTTATTTAGAGACAGGGTCTTGCTGAGTTGCTTAGGACCTTGCTAAATTGTTCAGACTGCCTTTGAATTTGTGATCCTCCTGCCTTAGCATCCCTAGCCACTGGGATTTATAGGCGGGCACCACAGCACTTGGCTCAGTGTTAGTTTTAGACAAATTGACCTTATAAGCATTGGTCACCATCAAAAACTACATTGTCTTCTGTGTGTCCTTGTCGCAGATGGGGGAAAGCTCTCTGACCTCTGGAGGAGCCATATGATTCTCTGAGGTCTGCATGTGCATGGGGCTGCTGATTCCCCTTCCTGTGGGAGAGCTGCTCTGACCCATGGCCTGAGGTGGACTGGGGTCTTTGTTTTTTAGGTGCGATTCCTTGAGCAGCAGAACCAGGTGCTACAAACAAAATGGGAGCTACTGCAGCAGGTGAACACCTCGACGCGGAGTAACAACCTGGAGCCTGTCTTGGAGAGCTATATTAGTGAGCTGAGGAGGCAGGTGGATTTTCTCAATTCGGAGCAGATGCGCAAGAACACGGAGATCAGGGGCATTCAGGATGTCGTGGAGGACTACAAGAACAAGTGAGGCTTAAGGCGGGGCAAAGGGGTCTGGGAGGATCGTAGCAGGGAACTGATTCATAGGGGCAAGATATTTTGCTTCAGTGTCTACATGTAAGAGGTGGGACTGGGCCCATCAGGTGCAGTCATTCAGGCTCTGCATTGCACAACTGCAGGGGGTGCCATTTTGCATATGGCAGCCCTGGTAAGATGGTACTTGTCAATTGTATTGAGTGGGTTGGGGGAGCATAGTTTTATGGTTGTTGGAGCTAAATAAGCTCTGACACTTATTAGTTGCTTACAAATCAATCTGTCTTCAGTTCTCATATTAGTAAGTGAGGATAGTAAGTACCTTGCTGAATTATTGTGATGGGTTGGTCTGTGGTTCTCAGACTTCAGTGTGCATCAGCTTGCTGCAATCAGATCACTGAGTCCTCCCCCAAAGCTTCTGATTCTGTAGGTCTGGGGTAGGGTCAGCTCTTAGGCATTTCTAACATATTTTTTATTGATGTTAATGCTGGTGGTTTGGGGACCACACTTTGAGAATCATTAGTTCAAAGGAAATTGGGCTTAATCAATTCTTAGTATTATACTTGCACATGCTAGGCTACTCAATATATTAATAGCAGTGGTGGGGAGGGGGCAGGAGCTGTTAAATTTCAGATCAGCTGCTCTGAGCAACTGTGTAGGTGACTAAGTGGCCTTTCCCTCTCTCTTCTTCCCCATGTGGGGTGTTTCTCTTAACATCACTTTGACATTCTTCCTGTGTAATGCCAGTGTGGAGTCAAATGTATATGAATCAACAAGGGAAAAAATAAAACCCTGGGGGTAGAATTATAGATATTTTTTTTTCTCTTACAAATTTAGTAAAAGTGATTCTTAACTGGAAAAAAATGATTGAGTTTGACACTTTGCAAAGGTAAAACATCAGAATAAAAATGGGTATTTTGGGGGGAATTCTGTGTGGCTCTGGGTTTTCCTTGTTGGGTCCTTGTCCCTTCTGTTGGTTTAGAGAACCAGGAGGTGGCTCCAGCCATTTATCAGTGAGAACACCAGGCCCTGGCAGGAGACAACTGTGTTGTAATCAGAACTCTCAAGTCCAGGACAGTAGATAGAGGTCTGGGGAAGTCTGAACTTTCTGCTGCTGGTGGGGGAAACATCAGGAAGCCAAGGTCAGCTGCTGCAGCCACTCTGTGCTCTTTGCCTCGCCACAGGTATGAGGAAGAAATCAACAAAAGGACCAGCACTGAGAATGACTTTGTGGTTCTGAAGAAGGTGAGGGGAAGGGAAGTCCCTGGGGGGGCTGTGGATGCAGAAGACTGGGTGGGATGAAAAATCCCTGTGACTTGCAAGATGACCTCTAGGGCCAGCTTGGTGTGCATTGCCCAAATGCATAGCCCTTATACTGAAGGGAAAATTGAAATTGACTCTAATGTGACTCTTTGGGAACCCTCTGGTTCTTGCCTCTCCAGGCTTCTGAAAATGAAACTAAATTAATTGACAGCTTTTGAATGTCAGTCATATGTGGGCTTGGGACTTGGGGAGGTTCAAGGGTGCTGTGTGTGATTGACCAAGGTGTGGAGGTTGATGTCTATCTCCTTCTGACTGAGAAAGCCATGGTTTGCAGGCCTCTTATTTGAGTAAGGTGATGACATTTTTAGACAAGGAAAAACCCAGAGAGGATTTGTCACTTTCCTGGGTGGAAAGACAGGTGTGGTAGAAAATACCTGGTGGTGGATAATGTGGTGGATAAGCAAACCATCTTTGCTTGTTGTTTAGGATGTGGATGCTGCTTTCATGGGCAAAGTGGGTCTGCAGTCCAAAGCAGACACTCTGCTTGGGGAGATCAATTTCCTGAAATATTTATTTGACACAGTAAGTTCAGTCCTTATAGGAAACCCTGTTCTTATCTCACATCTCATAAGGGGAATGTGCTGAAAGAGGGGAGGCCTGAAATCTAGTAGTACCCACCAGGAGTTTATCTTCCCAGTCACTCAACTCTGTGGGCCTGGAGTCAGCTGTTTCCTCACCCTCCAGTCCTCCGTGTTCCTGGGTGGGGGCAGTGGAGATGGAGACAGTGAGATCCTAAGGTTGGAGGAAAAAAAGTTGTCTCTGCTTCATGTCTTCCAATCTGTCTGGGAAATGAGGTTGACACCAAGACATACAGGAACAAAACCAGCCAGAAATTGTCATGCATTCTGGGACATCAATAGGGCTGTTAGAGAACTCTGTGGGAGATGACTATGGATTTTAAAGGGAGCGAGGACAAACTGCAGGGGTGTGGGATAGTACACTTGCGCACCCCTGGTCCTCCTATCACCCATGTCTAACTTGGGGACACATGCTCTGGGCCAGGTGCTGATAGGAGCTCTACTTATCTTCTGGGTGTCTCTATTCTACAGAACAGAAAACTGAGCCACTTTCTCAGTAACCCAGCTAGTCAAATGGCTCCATAACTGCAGTCCTTTCTATTTCCTTTGAAAGCACATGAGCTAATATGCTTGTCAGAGGGTACAGTTCAAGATGGCGGCCAAGCAAGAGTAAGGTTGGGATGGAGGACACAGGTGAGGCCTGATGGGAAGGTGGGGCCATGAGGGCTCTAAGTTCAGAAGCCTGCCTCCCCCCTGGAGGGTAAACCTGGGTCCCATTACTTTATTTGAAGCAATTAAGACTCTCCCCATTCCCTCTTTTTGCATACAACAATTGAAAGAACTTTCCTCTGAGGCTCCTTCCTGGTCCAGGCTTTTGGCCTCCCCAGGGAACCTTAAGAGAAACTGAGACTCTAGGAGAGTGGAAGGGGTCAATGGTACTCCATGTCTCACAGGAGCTGTCCCAGATGCAGACCCACATCAGTGACACCAATGTCATCCTGTCCATGGACAATAACCGCTCCCTGGACCTGGACAGCATCATTGATGCAGTGCGGGCTCAGTATGAGCTGATTGCACAGAGGAGCAAGGATGAAGCCGAGGCGCTGTACCAGACCAAGGTGAGCTCTGCCCACAGCTTACACCCCTGAAATAGGCAGATGCTGCCCAGAGCTGGTAGTTCTTCTTCTTATTTTAAAGTTGTTATAGAAACTTTAGAAATTATGGTAAGGATCACCCATATCTCACCACCAATATGATGTGTTCAGATGTTTTCTGTGAGTTCTTTGTAGCTAACGTATAGGGAGAACTCATAAGGGCCAGGCACCACACAAATGCTTTATATACACTATTTTATTTAATCCTTGCAATAACCCCATGAGGTAAGGATTTCATTATCCCCATTTTACAGATAACAGTATGAGATTCCTACATATATCAAGTGACATCAGAACCTAATTCAAGAGCACTATCTATAAACCTTTGCCCTTAATCATTAGAATTATTTTAATCTTTTTCATAATGGTACCTGTTAAAACAGAGTTTGATTCCTTTCAGTTTTACTTATCAATTATGAATGCCTTTCTGTTCCACTACATAGTCTACATTTTTAACAGCATGGTATTTCATTTTGAGATGATTCCTTCACTTATTAAATAAATACATTCACAATTTAGTCTTTGGTTACTTCTTTACTATAAATCAACCTTGGCCTTTGTGGATGATAAAGATTCTGTGTTGAAGAGACAAAGGTTGACAGCCCAGTCAACTAAATTCTGAACAACTGGCATTTGATGATTTGCTATGAGTTATTGTCCGTGGCCAACTCCAATCCCAGCTGATGTCTGTCCCACTGACCTGCAGACAGGTATTCTGGGATGGAATAGATTTTTTTTGGCATCAAACAGGAGAGGCAGAGTCAGCAGTGAAACATCAGAATACAGATTCGCTTGAGTTAACTCTCCCCCCACCATGTCCTGTGGGTTGAGTTCTATTGGGGGCAATGGAGACACAGAAACAGAGACAGGAAAATGTGAATGAATGTGGAAGATGCTGAGGGCTTCTGAGGATGGGCGGCCCTGCCTGCTAGGGAAATCACTCTGGAAAAGAATATGAAGGAATATGGTGGAGTATAAAAAGTGAGGGTAAGAACCAGTGTGAAGGCTTAGGCATGTGAAAAAGGGCATCAGGAAGCAACTTTGGCTGGAATACAAACCTACCCAGAGTGGGAATGAAGGGCCTTTAGTACAGAGGTGTGTGTATGTATGTGCATATTTGGGGCTCAGGTGAGAGATTCAGTGTGGATATGTATGTGTACATGTGTAGAACCACAGCTCCAGATGGGCTTATTCTGGAACTTCCCAGGGGAGAGCAGCCTAGACCCATCCCTTCTTGGAGGAGTTTGAGGTGAGTAGCAGGTGCTGACCATGATGTCACCTTTGACCTTAGTACCAGGAGCTCCAGATCACAGCAGGGAGACATGGAGATGACCTGAAGAATAGCAAGATGGAGATTGTTGAGCTCAACCGCACCATCCAGAGGCTGCAGGCAGAGATTGGCAATGTCAAGAAACAGGTAGGACAAGTGCTCAGGGTGGGTTGGCCAGTCCTCTTGCCTTCCATAATGTTCTGCTAGATCAGCTTCCCCAAACTCAACACTATGTGTTTCTCCAACTGTCTCTGGCATAGATTGAACAGATGCACTCATCCATTTCGGATGCAGAGGAGAGAGGAGAGCGAGCTCTCCAAGATGCCAAGCAGAAGCTGCAGGACATGGATGAGGCCCTGCAGCAGTCCAGGGAGGAGCTGGCCCGGCTGCTGCGTGACTACCAGGCACTGCTGGGAGCCAAGCTGTCCCTGGATGTTGAGATTGCCACCTACCGCAAGCTGCTGGAGGGAGAGGAGAGCAGGTGGGTGTAGCAGTCATGTTTCTCAGCCAAAATGAGGATGTAGTCATGGACCGTGTGCTTCCAGGATGGAGAGAAGATAATCTTCTCAGATTTCTTGGGAAGATTGGTGGTCCAGTGTAAGCAGAAATATTAGAGTTAGAAACAGAAGATGTGTGAATTGGCAGGGTATAGGAAAAGTCATTGTGACCATCACCCACCTCCAAGTACAGTGTCTCCATATCCCAGCTCACACCAATGCCACCAGGTGGACAACCCCAATGCTAAAAGATTTCGTGAAAATGCTGAAAATGTCCTCTGGCCCCACTGTCTCCCTGGCCTCTGCCCATGCACACAGTTTCCCGAGGCTTGGGGACATCTCTGCTTCTATTATCTTCAGGTTGCCTTCACTGATGTCCTGATGCTTCATGAGTGTGGTTAATGACTGTATTTTGGTTTTACAGGATGTCAGGAGAGCTGCAGAGCCATGTGAGCATCTGTAAGTACCAGAGTCCAGGGATAGAGGCTGGTTGGCACTGGGCAGAGGATGGGCTTGGTAGGGTTGCCAGGTGACCAGCAGGGATTGGCATTGGGCGCTTTTGCTTCTAATCTAGAAGAAAGAATACCAAAGTATACTAATGTCACCACAAAGCCTAGAAGAATTTGTTGCAATGGTTATGATTTATTTATTTATTTATTTTTAGGTCTGTGTATCTTAAACTTTTGTGATACCTAATCTCAGCAGTGACTAGAACTCTTTAGGGCATATATTCAATAAACAAGGAGAATGTGTTACTTAAAGGAGCGCTGACATCCTTGTAGTATGAAGAGCGATTTTTAAATGGAAATACTTTTGATGTCCAAAGTGTATATTTGCAAGTCGGCGGTTATCTATTTGCAAGTTGATGCCACCAAAGATCAAGGATGTAGGAGCCCTTAGGTTGAAGGGGTAGTGCAGTTAAGTCCCCCTGCCAGGTCCTTCCGAACCATTTACGCGGTCCTCTCCTCAACAGCGGTGCAGAGTAGCCAGGTATCCATGGGCGGTGGCTACAGTGGCGGAGGCGGAGGCTACAGTGGCGGCGGCGGAGGCTACAGCAGCGGCGGCGGAGGCTACAGCAGCGGAGGCTACAGTGGTGGAGGTGGAGGCTACAGCGGCGGCGGCGGCGGCTACAGTGGCGGCGGCTACAGTGGTGGAGGTGGCGCCTACAGTGGCGGTGGCGGCGGCGGCAGCAGCAGCAGCTCCCGCGGGGGCGGGGGAAGTTACGGAGGAGGGCGCGCCAGAGGCGGCAGTGGAGGCGGCTATGGGAGTGGCGGCGGCGGGAGCTATGGAGGAAGCAGTAAAAGCAGCAGCAAATACGGTGGCGGCTCCTCGCGCGTGCAGATCATCCAAACCTCCACCAACACCTCCCGCAAGCGAATCGTGGAGTAGGGGCAGAGCAGCGCCTCTCAGGGCTCACACACAGGATGCGCCCCCTGGCTCTTCTCCTGTCGCCTCCCCGCTATTCCCTTCCTGACTCCCTCTCACTTAGCTTTTCCTGATGGGTCTCAGCAGTTTTGCTAATAAATTCCACTCTAGGCGAGGAAGCAGGGTGGATAAGCACAAATAGCAGCTCTGTCTTTGGAGGGCACTGGCTTGTGGTCAAAGGCAGTTACACTCTCACTCGGGATCCCCTGTCTGACCCTGCTCCTTACCCTGGGGACACTACATAGTTGATGGACAGGAAAGTCGCAGAGCTTCTGCAAGGTGGATGATTGAGAGTACCTCAGGTTTACCAAGCATCTCAACCCCAGGCTTCCTTTCTTGTACCTTGGCAGCTGCATGATCCACAGTCCATCCCTCAGGTTGCTCACAAAATGATCCCTATGGGCAAGTAGCTGGCTTGGTAAGAGGAAACTACCAGGGGTCAGTTCCTGATTCTTTGTAACCTCATACTTTGACCTTGATGGTTGATGTACTGACTATCTGAGATGCCTGTAGGTCATGCCTGTCCTGATTCTGAATCTCTATGTTGAGAAGCATTATCCCTCTGGTTTACAGCCCCCTGTGGGAGTATGTCAAACCCCCTGTTTTTGTCTAAAGGGAGGATTGTTCTTAGCAGTGAATGGAGGTATGACGGACAGATGATCGAGTTCTGTTTCTGTCCTGCCCTCCAGACAGCTCCATCTTTGGAAGATTGCCCCTTCCTGCACTCTGCTCCATTATGGGTCTGCAGAGAGTTGCCTAGTGGGCTGGGCATCTGCAGCCCTGTTCTGATCCACCCAGGGTGCCCAGGGCTTGAAGCCTGAGGACTGTGAGGATCTGACTTGGGATGGTTCCAGTCCTGAGCCAGTCTGGAAGCTGCCTGTTTTTGTCCCAGGCAGTTAATGCCCTTTTCCAGACCTCACAAGTCCCTTTTCACTTCTGTTCTCTTTGAGCACTTTGTGAGACTTTGACTTCTACTTTAGGGTCTTATAAAAGGTGCTTGAGACATGCTGGAGGGGTCTGGCAGGGGAAAATGTCAGCCAACATGTGGCTTGAGAGGGGGAGTGTGGCTTTGCTTCTAGGATCTGGAGTCCCCTTCACTGGCTTCCTGAGTCTCGACACCAACCTCCACATCCGTGATTCTGTTGGGGCATCTGAGGGGCTCTGTGGGGGGTCCCTTGGGAAGTACCTTTGACTTCATCATTTCCTGGTTGAAAGGTGTACCTTGAAGGGCTTGGCATTTCCAGTCTTTCTAAAATAAATTTTTCTGTGGTCTCAAAATGTCACTTGGTCTGGAAATGAGTTATTTTTTTCTTGTCTTTGAAATTATTCATATTTGGGAAATTAAGGTTTATTATTTTTATCATTTTTATTGTACAAGTAATATATAATCTTGAAGAGCCTTGCAGACATAATCTTATTAATCTTTAAAGTGGCCTATCATTCAAAAGCCAATTACATGTTTGTTCAACAGGCATTTATTAAGCTCCTGGTGTGGCAGGCAGTGACCTGGGCACTGGGAAGGCCGTGTTGGATGAACACGTCTCTGAATCTTAAAGTGCTCACAACTCAGATGATCTATTATGGGGGAGAGGGAGGCTTTGATAGGGGAGAAGCCAGTGTGTATGCCTCTATGGACCACCTAGCCTGAGGGTGGAAGCAAGGCCTTCTGAGGACATGGGTAGACCCACCAGAAAGGAGCAGTGGGACCAGCAATAGGTGCCAGTGCTGGGGAAGGGAGTTTGGTCCCAACAGACTTCAAGAAGACTGGAAAGTAGAAGAGTAGGGGCAGGTGTTGACAGGGGTCTAGTATGCCCAGAGACTCGAAGGTAAGAGAGAATGGATGTGTGTGAGCAAAAGGGACAGCAGGATGGGAGAAACCAAACAGGGAGGCAAGGGGCTGAGGTCCAGTTACCGAGTGGGGGTCAAGGGCAGGAACATTTTGGTTGATGCCTTGAGAGAAGCAAAGTTGCAGAAATTTAAAAATGGAGCAGGTTAAGCCATCGCCTTATCCTGTATGGCATTTCGGAGTCCAAGTAAAGGACTCACATAATAGTTATGACTTGCCTGCTTGTTCCCCGAAGGAATAAAGATGGAATTTGGATATGGGGTTCATTCGAACACATTCGAACCCATATTGAAAAGACGTTGCATTCCCAGGCACACCCGACAGTCACTCTGAGAAATTTCTTCCCGTCTCACCTGTCTTGGCAGCAGGCCTATTGGGGAAAGGCTGAGAAGAGAGCAGGTGGGCAGAAGGACTGCCCAAAGGGAAGAAGAGGAGGGCGGACAGTGCAAAGTCCTATTTTTAAAGTAAAAAATGAGCGCACAAGGACTAGGCAGGGAAGATGTGGACAGACAGCTGTGGACATAAAAATGATTGACAGTGTTCAGCTGACAGTGAGAACACATGAGTCAATGGGGCGTGGTGGTTGCTGGAGAAAGCCATGGGAACTAGGAAGGCAACAGCCAGGAAGAGGGATTGTTCTGTATTTGGACCCTCTGAAGGCTCTGAATGCTGAGGACAGTGATAAATAATAGGAGCCTATTGAGAACAAAGTGACCAGGACCATGGTGGTGGTAAATCAGAAGCCTGGCTACATGAGGGATGATGGGAGGACCTGGACAGTAGTCGCTGGGAGTAATGGAACAGCTAACTGCAAAGATTTGAAGAGCTTCCATAGGAAAGGGGGGTAAGTCCCAGCTGATGACCCAGATGCACATGTGAGATCTATAGCAGATTTGGCTGTATGTCAGAAGCACCTTTCTATTGATCCTGAGATGGGCGAGGCCACTTGGAGAGTTATCAAGTTTCAAGCAGAGGCTGGCTAGCTGTCTAGCAGGAGGTTGAGGGAGGGAGTGGAACGTGGGTGGGGATGTGTGTATGGAGGAATCCCATATCTTTGCCACCCTAAGAGTCCATGTGGTAGAGCCTGAGAAAAAAGGAATTCTACTCTATGGGAAAAATAGGGTCAGATGCCAGGGAAGGAGAAAGTCATGGTCCCAGACAACATTCTAAAATGAATCCAAGTTTTCTGGCACCACCAGACCTACTTCAGGGTGTGGCCTGATTATCCCTGGAATCACACATGTGTGTATGATGCTCTAAGGGAATCCAGGTCAGCTCTGGGAAAAAGCATAAGGGCAAGGCCAGGCCAAGGTCATCTTCCCCATCCTTCTCCTGGGCAGGAATTGGGGTTGTTCCAGAAAATGTGGCTTTGACTTTTCAGAAGACTTGACTATCTGAATCAGAGAGGACGAGGGAGGGATGGAGGGAACAATGTGACCCAATCCTAGGAATGTTGGAACCTAGATGCCACAGGGCAGGGAATTAATAGCCAGAGGGAAGAAGAGTCAGTCACAAAAAGGAACCAGGGTCCAGGGGAGAAGTCTGTTGATGTTCAGGGAAAGAGGGAGTTACTCTAGGGACCTGAGAAATGGGAGCTAGCACCAAAGACACTGGAGGAGGTTTCTTGGTATAGACAGGGAGAGTGTTCCACAAGAGCAAATGCCCCTCACCTGCAAGGCACCCCAGAGAAAACAGGAAATTCTATGAACCATGCACAAAACACCTCACATACATTATCTCATCTAGTTCTCACTGTGTCTGGGAGAGGGCTGGGGAGACCACCTGTGGGTGGGCCATCCAGGTATGGAGCACTCCCTCCCTGCCCTGATCAGGCTTTCCCACAGCAGATACCCATGGGAAGAGCAAAGCTGGCCCATCTATTCATCAGATGGAGGCCATCAGGAGGGAGCGACTTACAGGTGGTGAGATCCCAGGGGAAGTCTGCCAACCGCTCCTCCCTCTGGGAGGCTGTGGCAGGGCGGAGCACTCTGGAAATCTAAATTTAATTCCACCAGCGTCTCAGTTACAGAGATTTTTATCTCAGGGCATTGCAAACAGGAAGAGCAACCATTGGCTCAATAGAATTCTAACTCCTTCTGACCTTGGACAAGATGTGTGTTTCTGGGCTGGGAAAGCTCTTGGTCTGAGGAAGAGTGTCTTGAGAATGCCGCCTTGCCCTCATTACCCTGCCCAGAATGTGTCTTCACAACAATGAGTTCGGTGCTCCACCAGTCCCGCTTCAAGTCCAGTGTAACTCTCACGGTTTTGTTGGACTTGCTGCCCTGATTTTATCAGCTTTCCAAACGGGGGACGTCTTCTAGTTGATCAACACCCTCTTGCAGGGTTGGGCTGGGAACTAGGAGTGCTGTGAGGTTCTCCAGCATTGACAATCAGTTCCAAATGGCCCAGTCCCAAACCTGGAAGAACTTCTGGGGGGCTCTTTGTGTTCAGCTCAGCTTCCACTCCTGTCCCAGGGTGGTCATCCCTTGGAGCAGGTCCTCACCCTGCATAGCGCACATTCCAGAGGGAAAGCAGGGTCTCTCACATCTAGCCCTAGATTTCTTCGGCGTCTGGTGTGCTTAGCGTCACTTCTACGCGGTGGACCCCTAGCTTCCCTATGACAGGTTGGGCTTTATGGGCCCTCAGACTTTCTCTTACAAAATAATCTAATTTCAAAAACTTAAACTTCTTTTTCTAGCCCTTTCACTATTTCCAGTGAAACAGGGGCTTGTTCCAAAGTTTTCTTGATTCTATCAGTCTTTGGGTCCTTCCAAATGCAAGAGTGAGAAAGAATTCTCCCTTTTCTCTTTATCATTTACTCCTTGTAGTTTCCTTGGAAGGTAGATATAGTTCCAGCTTTACAAAGGAGAAAATTTATGCTCAGAGAGGGTTGCTGATCTCCCTAGGGTCACACAGCTAGGGACATGCAGTCAGGAGTGGGACCCAGGTCTAACTGACCCCCACAGCACAGAGTAGACACTGTCCACTGCCTCTTTCCTGCACAAGCGTCTTTGGCTTCCTGCTGCTGGGCTGCTCTGCTCCCACACTGCCCATGCATGGCTCCTGGGGGCCGCCTTTGCTGTCTGTCTTCAATAGGGCCGCCCCTCTTCCCCGTGCATCTCTCTGTCCTGCATAAAAAGCCTTGGCCCCTCCTCTGCTGCCTGTCAGCTTTCAACATCTCACCCCGCCTCCCCATTGTCTGTGACTCCCCTGTACTCCTCCCAGGCTTTAGTTTTCCCCACTCCCCTGAAATTCCCTTCTCCCACGTCCCTGATAGAGTCCCGCAGGGCTGGGTGGCTTGTCATCGCATGTCTCTTAATTCTTTTCTCAGTCCCATCCCTCAAAAAGCTCTCAAAACATCACCACACCTGCCCCTGCCTGTGCCCCACAGCTTGCATGTGGCAACCTCTCAGCCATCAGTTCTGGGTGCGTGCAAGTCCCTGGGCAGGTGTTCTGGTACTCTGTCATCTCGCACAGCTGGGGAGTCCCTCAAGGGCTGACAACAGGGAGGCTGAGAGGGTACCCAAAGTCATGGAGAATTTAGTTTTGCTTCTAAAAGGCTTACAGAGGAATTGTGTGTTTGTGTGTGTGTGCGTGCGCACACGTGAATGAACACACACGTGCAAATGAGTCAATCTATACATCAATGCGCATTTGGATCTGGCAGCAACTGAGTTTTGGAAAAGAAACCAACAGGCCCGCAGCCTAGTGTTAATCCAAGAAAATCCTGGAGGAGAGAGCTGGGCTTGTCTACCTACTGCCCTGTGGAGCAGAGGGGAGAAATATATTTCCTCTCAAGGCCCAGTGGACTGAACACAGTCAGGTTCGAATACTCAGGAATTGAGATCTTTGGGGTCCTAGCACTTGAAGGGGTTTGAAGCAAGCTGCCAGTGCCAGTGGAAGGCCTTCCGGAGAGGAATAGAAGCAAGCTGGCAAAAGGAGAGGAAAAGGGAGGAAAAAAGAAGAGGGCTAATCAGTCTGGGCCAAGCTTGGTAGAGGAAGGGTCATGGCGTGAGGCCAGGTGACAGGTGGGCAGGGAGAGATGTAGGTGTTGTGGGTGAGAAAGGCCGGCCAACGGCAGGAGGCATGTGCTCTGGAGTTGGACAAGCATGGCTTGTCAGTGCCAGCTGTGTGACCCTGGGAGCGGATTTTGACCTTTGTGAACCTGAGTTGTCTTTTCTTTAAAATGGGGCTACTACTAATCAGCTTGAGAACTTTTTTGTGATTTTTTTTTGGGGGGGAGTCCTGGGGATTGAACTCAGGGGCACTTGACCACTTAGCCACATCCTCAGCCCTATTTTGTATTTTATTTAGAGACAGGGTCTCACTCAGCTGCTTAGCACCTTGCCATTGCTGAGACTGGCTTTGAACTCTAGAGCCTCAGCCTCCTGAGATGCTGGGATTATAGGTGTGTACTACCGTGCCTGGCTT